AGGGGGTTCAACACCTGCAGTGGAATGTAGGAAGGTTCAACACCTGCAGCGGAATCTAGGGGGTTCAACACCTGCAGTGGAATGTAGGAGGGTTCAACATCTGCAGTGGAATGTAGGAGGGTTCAACACCTGCAGTGGAATTAGGAGGGTTCAACACATGCAGTGGAATCTAGCGGCGTTCAACGCCTGCAGTGGAATCTAGGAGGGCTCAACACTTGCAATGGAATGTAGGAGGGTTCAACACCTGCAGTGGAATGTAGGAGGCTTCAGCAGTTTGCTTACGCTCGTCCTTTGGTCAGCTATCCTCTTCCCTCTTTGGGAGCTGCCAAATGAAGGGCTTTAGCCGACTGTTGCCTTCGTCCTGCTCTGATTAACATATAAGTAGAAAAATATCTTTCTCGCTCTATCCTATCTATCTATCTATCTATCTATCTATCTATCTATCTATCTATCTATCTATCTATCTATCTATCTATCTATCTATCTATCTATCTATCTATCTATCTATCTATCTATCTATCTATCTATCTATCTATCTATCTATCTGTCTGTCTGTCTGTCTGTCTGTCTGTCTGTCTGTCTGTCTGTCTGTCTGTCTGTCTGTCTGTCTGTCTGTCTGTCTGTCTGTCTGTCTGTCTGTCTGTCTGTCTGTCTGTCTGCCTGCCTGCCTGTCTGCCTGCCTGCCTGCCTGCCTGCCTGCCTGCCTGTCTGTCTGTCTGTCTGTCTGTCTGTCTGTCTGTCTGTCTGTCTGTCTCTATCCATCTATCTATCTGATGTCTGCCTAGTTGACAAATGGTGCTTCCCTCCTCTCTGTCTGTCTGTCTGCCCGTCTCTCTCTCTCTCTCTCTCTCTCTCTCTCTCTCTATATATATATATATATATATATATATATATATATATATATATATATATATATATATATAATCTGATGTCTGGTTGGTTGACAAATAGTGACACTTTGTTAAGTCATCTTGTTTGTCTTTTGACCTCGCCATTCTATTTCTAGATCGGCTGTTATCTTTTATAAGCACGGGGCCCATAGGAAGATGTAAATTAATGAGTCAAAAGGAGACGTATAATTCTGCTCAACCTATATCTTATAGACCAGTCGGCGCTTGGTGGGTGATGTGGTCGGCAGCACGCTTAAAGCTTTCACTTCCCACAATTACTTATAGATAAACTACACCATATATCTAAAACCGCATTCGGGTAGCCGCTACTGCCATAGAGATCCAAACGTCAAATTCGCATTCGGATATATATATATATATATATATATATATATATATATATATATATATATATATATATATATATATATATATATACATTTTTGTCTTCAAAATTAGCCTTGCCTTCCATGTCGACTTTACCTAAACTGAGTACTGGTTAATGTCCTGGAAAGTAAAGGCATCCAGCATGATGTTGACCCATATTTACCCATCGAGGGCCGATTGGTCTATCTATATATATGAAAAGCAATTTTTGTGGGTTTGTTTATTACCTATAGACTCAGAAACTACTAAACCAATTTAGCTGACATTTTCAGAATATGTTTATTTTGATACTGGAATTCTGCCTGTCGTGGTTTAAAATTGGTGGCGACATTTGTTATTAAAATTTTTTTATTTTAGTGACATTTAATTAAAGCCATGTTCGTAAATGCGCATGAGCAGTAGTCGTAACGCAGGACTTGCACCATTCGCCGGCGTGGTACAGCAAACCAGACTATATCTGTGTCTGGGCAGGCAATGATTGCGACATTAACCATATTAGACACGATTTCTATTTTCTTTTTTTTTTTTCAAACAACATTTGATGAGTTAGAGAGTAGTTGGTGGATTTGAGGGGAGGGGGGGGGAAGGGCCGTATCGAAGACTATCTCTGTGTCTGCTCAGACAATTATTACGACATTAACCGTGTTAGACACGTGCGATTTCTATTGTTGTGCTGTTTCAATATTACTTTAAGTTGATGTCTGGGATATTTGTCTATGAGAAAACAATTGCCTGCGGTTGTGAGTTGTGTTAGAATCAGGACACAGTAGTCAGGACACCTATCTTCATCTCTTTTCGTTGCACAATAGGAGTGGTTAATTGGCAGAACGGTCGGCTCCTGTGCGGGAGACCAGGGTTCGAATCCCCAGCACGGGATTTCTTTTTTTTTTTACCCGGGGGCAAAATAAATCCTCACCTGCACTGTTGTGGCGACAGCACTAGCCGTGTGACCCTTATTACTAAACAATACACACACACACACACACACACACACACACACACACACACACACACAACAGGTATGTGAGTAAACCAGTTGATAATTAAATTTGACCATTTTCGCATACATTTCATTTCAAACTGTCTGATTGCATGGTTACGCTGAATTTTCGTAGATTTCCATTTATTTCGTCTGACATTGCGTTGAAATTAAGCTGTGTTGTTTACCAGAGCAATAATTTCGTAATTATGGTGTATTTTTCATGTTTTCGTTACTTTTCACTTGGTTCTTTGTTTTGTTTTTCCCAACTACTTCAATCAGGGAAAGAGTAGTCGGTAAATTAGGGAGTGGGGGGATTAACATAAACTGTTAACTGAGAGAGAGCTTTAAGTCACAGTAACTTCCTTACCGACTCAAAGTAGTAGTAGTTGTGGTTGGTTGGCTACACTGTATTGCTGTCATGCCGGAGACCGCCGGTAAGGTGATGGCGTTTTTCTGTCGGGGAGCGAAATTATATATCCTAACCTGACCAGTCCGTGGTGACAGCACTAGCCATGCGGCGCCAAATTCTCTGGCTCACGACTCCCTGTCTACTCCGATGGTAAAACAGATAACAGTGACATTATTTTAGTTATTGTGGTGGTGGTAGTTGTACTGGTACTTAAAGGATGGTGTAGTAAATATTACACTAGCCGCATTTACTACGCATTACAATTCCTGCTACCCATTTTAGTCCGGATGGACACGGATATCAAGATCAGTTACAAACAATACCATCAGGTGATGACTTTCAAATCCTTCGAAGAGGAAGAGAGCAGTAGTCAGTGGATGGGGGAGGGAGGGGGTGATAACAGAAATTTTTAACTTAAAGAGCTTAACACGTGATTTTAAAGTTTTAATTTCTTAATTTGTTTTATTTTAGTAAAGCTACCTCAGCTATTATCATTTTGTGTGTGTGTGTGTGATTTAAAAGTACAGTAGTGAGCTTTACTTCCGGCTCTTTAAAAAATACAAACAGCTTTAGCATGTGATAACCAAAAAACCATAATTAGAAGTCCTAAAAATACAATTTAAACGACCACTATAATGACACAATTATATGTTGCATGTTCTTGAGTCGACAAACCAGATTATCTCTGTATCTGCGCAGGCAATGATTGCGACATTAATCATATTAGACACGTGCGATTTATATTTTCTTTCCTTAAAAAGAAAACCTTCGATGTGTTAGAGAGTAATCGGTGGATTTGAGGGGGGGGGGGGGGCGGCGGCAACGAAGGCTATCTTTATATCTGCGTAGACAATGATTGCGACATTAACTAAATGAGACACGTGCGATTTCTATTTTCTTTCTTCTCCATTTAGTCAAAATATGCCACAGCAACGCGTGGCCGGGCACACATTACCCATCGAGTGCCGATTTTTCTATAATATATATATATATATATATATATATATATATATATATATATATATATATATATATATATATATATATATATATATATATATATATATATATATATGACAAGTCTTTTTTTTTCAACTTTCCTACCGTCACAATATACTCCAGTTTTCTCCTTCTCATCACATGACAAAATAATGTAGAATATCTCTTTCTGATGTGGGCAATCAGTTCTCTTCGTGAGTCAGTTTCTTTCAAGACATCCTCATTTCCTCTTTTTTTTTTTTCCCCCTCTCACACAGTGTATACATGTTTTTGTTACAGTATATAGTGTCATCAGTCAGGTGGTCCTGTACAGAACATCGCTCTCTTCACAGCATACCCAGAAACCTATCTTTCTCTAGGCGATTATCCAACACTGTGTGACTTCATAGCCAACGTCTTGCATCCACCAGCGCATCCATTTGAGGATATATTGGAACTAATTGTTCGTGCACCAGTTTACATGTGACGGCGAAGGGCGTTTGATTCGATTTTCAACGGCATAGGAAAGGAGCACATATGGAGCGACCCGACTAGACTTCTTTCTTCTTCTTTGCGTTCGCCAGCTGTAAAACTCTGGTGGAAAGTTATGGTTGTCCGTCCACTTCTGGACTGCAGTCCTGTTCCAGAACCTGAGTGTTGCGTGTACATCCGTTGGTTCCGAGCCTCTCAGGCAGATGCACTCCGACTTCGAAGGAACCTCCCAATTAGTCGACTCTTACGACATGCTTTTTGGTAGGCAGTGGGTCTATTCTTGTTTTCCCTATAATAGGGCCCTGGAACCCACACAGGGGCCGACTACAGTGAAGCTGAACCTTGACTGCAGATACGACTACGGGTTCTGTCTCTTTCTTTTTTTTTTCTGTACTGTCGCTTCTATGGCCGCTCTCTCCAGGCCACGCTTCACAAGGTCAACATACCTCAGCTGTCGGGACAGGATGTTGTTTATGAGCCAGTTATCCTTCATGTCCGGATCATGTAGGATGTCAGCTTTTTTTTTTTTTTTTAAGTAAACGGTATTCTGATATTTGTTTTGTTGCATTTCAGCTCAAAATCCTTGATTTTTTTTTTACCACAAAGACTCATTAAGAGTCAGTGACTCATTTTTATATGTTGTCACAGGAAAGATGCACCTCTCTTTATTTTCAATATATCTTGCTTGCAGGCGCTGTGGCATAGCTTCTTCATGATGTTTAGCCTCACCATTGCTAAAACAAGTCTTTTTTCTCACTTCTTTGTGCAGTCGCCATTGTTGTTTATTAAAACGTGAAAACTTTTTTCCCTTGATGACTTTTGGTTGTGATTTATCAATTACTCAAACGTGGCTGCATGATAGGATGAAAATGAAAATTCTATTAAACCAACACATTGTTATTATTATTATTATTATTATTATTATTATTATTATTATTATTATTATTATTATTATATTTATGACTGTAGGTGTGGTGGATTACCTGGCTACTGAAGTCTCGACGTCCAAGCAGAAAAAGTTCAGTCTGGTCACCTTCATAGACACGCCTGGTCTAGTTGATGGAGACATGAAGTACCCGTTTGATGTCAACAAGGCTATCACCTGGTTAGGTGAGTAGATACATTCATCATCATCATTTTCCTGTTTTGCCGTTATATGTGCAGTCACTTCAGTGTCATGGATGGAATCCAGTCCAGCACCTTTGGCCTCTCTCTCTCTCATCAGCGTTCATTGTAGGGCTGCTTTTGTACGTTCTCATTTTCTCAGTCCCTTTATTTCCCACTGCAGTGCCTGTTTGGTGATTGACCTTTGTGTAGTTGACTTCATGTTTGACAAAGGCTGCCCGGCCAAAACGTTACTTTATTTGTATTGTTTTGTGCACGTTTTTCGGCCTCCCCATTTGGTTAAGCTTTTTAGTCAAATTTCACTGGAATTCCGTGTATTAGCTTGACTGCAGTCACCCCCATATTTTCAAAATTTTTGGGTGATTACCTGCTCATATCTTCTCATGGCGTGTCTTCTTTGTATTATAAATGTTGTTACCACTGGTTGCCCAGACATAGAGTGGATACATTGATATTTCTGTTGTTGTTGTTGTTTTGAATTCTCTCGATACGGATTCAAACCCACGACCTTTGGGTCGGCAGACAAGCATCTATCCTTGGCTCTGCCGCGGATCCCAGCACAGTAATCTACTCTGTTGTGCATCCCTTAGATCAGTGGCTCTCAACCTTCCCAATGCCGCGGCCCTTTAATACAGTTCCTCACGTTGTGGCTGACCCTCCCCTTTTCCCCCCACCATACAGTTAGTTATTTTCGTTGCTACTTAGTATTTTCAGTGAATTTGTGTTGTGCGATGGTCTTTGGCGGCCCCTGTGAAAAGGTCGTTCGACCCACACACAAAAAGGAATTGCGACTTACATGTTGAGAACTGCTGCCTTGGACTGTGCTGCAGAACCCAACACCAACTTAGTTGTAAGAACAATCAGAAAGTTAAGTGGCATATCTGGTACTCCCCCGTTTGCCACCCTGGGTATTGTAAGGGGGGGGGGGGGTGGTAAAATGGCAAAAAATGTACGTTTTTAAATATAAATATACATATTTAGGTTCAAGTCGGTGACAAAAAGGCAAAGATATACTTTTTGAAAAATAAACCTACATATATGTGTTTGAGGGGGTGAAAAAATATTGCGTTTTAAAACTATAAATATACATTAATGTTTGGGGGGGGGGGGTGGGGGGGGGTTAACTAAAATATTCGTTTTTAAAAGATAAATAAACATATATGTGTTCAGGGGGGGGGGGGGGGGTGAAAAATGGCAAAATGTACGTTTTAAAAAGAAAAATATACATAAATGTTTTTGCGGAGAAAGGGAGGGGGCGCACGAGGGGTTAAATGACAAGAAATATTCCACACCCTTGCTAGGCCACTGGGTGCCGGTACTGCTACTTAATAAAAAGCCCTGGTTGTCCTATAATACCCCGCTGGTTGGTGTGATTAATGGCAGGTGTAGTCTGTACCACACACAGGGAGCACGTGTGCCGGGCTACGGGGTCAGTGGGTTACATCTATTTGTAGCAGCTGCTGTTTGGAGAGCCAGTTGGTGGGTTATTTCTGAACGCGGCCTTGGCGTGCCAGTTCTTCCCGTGTGGGGGACGAGGGGGGAGAGAATATTCAAAACAATGTTTAAATAACGCCGACACAAAACAATTCATTGCGTTGTGTAATATGTAAACAGGAGCAATTTATTATATATTTGCTGTTACCTTGGTAAGTCACGTCACCGTCATAAACTTCCAGCAATTGGTCTAAAAATGTACCGAGAGAGAACATTTGTATTCAGGGCAATTCATTGACATACTTAATTGTATGTTGAATGTAACTCTGTAGTAACGCACCTGATAAAGATAAAGCTAAATGTGTCTGGCAATGAAGTGTGACGTGTTTTGCTAGTGTCCGCATTATTTGAAATAAAGAATAGACCCCCCCCCCCCTTTTTTTTTTCCTTTTACGCTCCCTGCTCCAAGCATACATGTAAAAGACAAGGCAACTAATTAGGGTTTTTACTTCGAAGTCGGAGTGCATCCGCATGAGAGGCGAGGAGCCAACAGTCTGCATACAAGTAGGCCAGATCTGTAAAAGCTATGTGCGTGCAAGTTATGGAGCAAGACCAAAGTCCAGAAGTGGACGAACAGCCAGAACTTTCTGTCAGAGTTTAGAGCTGGTGAACACGAATAAGAAGGAAAGGAAGAGGGTGTACACGTTTGAGCTGACAAGTTCAGCATTATTACCGCCATCATCATCAAATTTACCATCAGAATCATTGTCATTTTTTTCTGATTGTCATTATCATGCTCTTCAGTTTCTCATCACCATCAAGTAATTTTTTCCCTAGCTTTTCAACACCCACACGGTATTCCAATGATAAAGACTTTGGTCGAAACGTTTGGTTGTTTTTGTGTGCGTCTTTTCTTTTCCTCTTCCTTCCGTTAAGCTTTCTAGTCATATTTTGTGTTATTATCCAGATTGTTTTAGACTACTACCCTTCACATGCAGTAACCTTTTAGTTTGCCAGAATAAAAATCAGATTTCCTCTTCATCTCAAAGTCTGTTTCAGGTATCAGTAGTGTTCATGTCTAGTCACAGACCTTTGTTATCAGTAGTGTTCATGTCTAGTCACAGACCTTTGTTATCAGTAGTGTTCATGTCTAGTCACAGACCTTTGGTATCAGTAGTGTTCATGTCTAGTCACAGACCTTTGGTATCAGTAGTGTTCATGTCTAGTCACAGACCTTTGGTATCAGTAGTGTTCATGTCTAGTCACAGACCTTTGGTATCAGTAGTGTTCATGTCTAGTCACAGACCTTTGGTATCAATAGTGGGCACTCTTCCGAATACCGGTCCCAAATTATTCACTGCCAAAAACTAAGTTATGTAGTAAAAGCATTTAGGTCATCATCATCAGTTTCCACTTTTGCCGTTAGTGCTCGACAGACAACGATGTTAAGACCTTAGGCTAAGCGCCGGAGAGAGGGGGAGGGGGTTGTTTTAGATCCATTGGTGCGGCATTTGGAGGAAAATGTTTTGATTCAATGTTTAAGTGAAGTGGGGAGGATTAGTTTTCGATCCATTAAAGTTACGTGGGGAGGAATAGAATAGTTTTTGATCCTTTAAAGCTACGTGGGGAGGAATAGAATAGTTTTTGATACATTGTTTACATTACTCGTGACTTCTCTTGTGGGTTCCAGGGCCACATGTTTGAGGGGAAAACAGAATAGATCCACTGCCACCTAAAAAGTATGTTGTAACAGGCGCTTAAATAAGACTGCTGAAATCGATTGCGTTAGTGTAAAAGGATCAGATATCACAGCCTATCTGTAAACCACAACAAAACATCCCAACTGTCCTTTTAAGGGCTAAAAAAAAAATTATCACCCTGCGGGGAATCGAACACCGATCACCCACGTACCATGTACAACTATACTACCGAAGACTCGAGAGTTGGGTTCCCATGAAATTATATAATAACGCGAAGCATAGTTTGTAGCGTTCCTGTTCCATATTTTAAACTATATGACCTCTTGAGGCCCTAAATGGGATTTTTTAAACAGTAAATAATTTGGGACCGGTATTCGGAAGAGTGCCTAATAGTGTTCATGTCTAGTCACAGACCTTTGGTATCAGTAGTGTTCATGTCTAGTCACAGACCTTTGTCTTAAGTACCGTTTGCAGGCAACCGTAGGTCTCTGGGGACCCTGGAGTTGTGGGGTTAGTCTCTGGGGACCCTGGAGTTGTGGGGTTAGTCTCTGGGGACCCTGGAGTTGTGGGGTTAGTCTCTGGGGATCCTGGAGTTGTGGCATTAGTCTTTGGGGACCCTGGAGTTGTGGCATTAGTCTCTGGGGGCACTGGAGTTGTGGCATTAGTCTCTGGGGATCCTGGAATTGTGTTGTTAGTCTCTGGTGATCCTGGAGTTGTTGTGTTAGTCTCTGGGGATCTTGGAGTTGTGGCATTAGTCTCTGGGAATCCTGGAGTTGTGGCATTAGTCTCTGGGGATCCTGGAGTTGTGGCATTAGTCTCTGGGAATCCTGAGTTGTGGCATTAGTCTCTGGGGATCCTGGAGTTGTGTCATTTGTCTTTGGGGACCCTGGAGTTGTGTCATTTGTCTTTGGGGACCCTGGAGTTGTGGCGCGCTGGTTTTGAGAACTGCCTCTGCTCTGACAGTCAAGTCCAGTCCTCGAGTGGCATTCACTCACTGCCCATAGAGCACATAACAACGTTGAAATTGTTCCGAGGCTGGTTTTTCTCTTGGACGTCTTCGCGCTGTAGATTGCTGGATTTGTGGATGTGGTCTCTTGTCAACCATGACAGTCCGTCTTTCTCACTGCCTCCAAGGGAGTCGTTCTGCTGCTGATCGTTCCCAAGTGTCTGCATCATTGCTGGTGTCTTTAAGGCCTACACTGTTAGCTTTGGTTACACAGATGTTCTTGCATACCACACCCAGCATATTCCGCATGTGGATTTTGTTTCCCTCATTTTGGAGGGGGAAAAGAATAGACCCACTGCACCTCCTAACAGGTCTGTCAAAAAGATGGCTAATGAGTTTGGATGAAATTTGATGTGCTAGTCTACAAGGCAAACTATGGCAGCCTAGCTGTTAACCACAGTATGTGCAAACCACACTTTAAGGGGAAATGCTGAAGAAGAAAATGCAGTCCAGCATATTTTCTTTGAGTCTCTCTGTACTCGCTTCCCTTTCAGCTTCTCTGCTGTCACAGACTTCTCACTGATTCATGCTTGAATCCCCAGGTGACACAGCTGACCTCATCTTCGTCTTCTTTGACCCTATTGGCCAGGCCCTGTGTAAGCGGACTCTCAACCTGGTAGAGATCTTGAATGACAAGCACGCAGACAGGATCAAGTTTTACCTGAGCAAGGCTGATGAGGCAGGCCACGAGAGCGACAGACAGGTGAGTGGATACAGTTGTGTGAGTGACAGACAGGTGAGTGGCTACAGTTGTATGAGTGACAGACAGGTGAGTGGCTGCAGTTGTGTGAGTGACTGACAAATTAGTGGCTACATTTGTTTAGAGTGACTGACACGTAAGTTGGCTACAGTTGTGAGAGTGACAAACTGGTAAGGGGCTACAATTTTGTAAGTGACAGACAGGTGAGTGGCTACAGTTGTGAGAGTGATTGACAGGTGAGTGGCTACAGTTGTGTGATTAACAGACTAGTGGCTAGTTGTGAGAGTGACAGACATGTGAGTGGCTACAGTTGTGAGAGTGATAGACAGGTGAGTGGCTACAGTTGTGAGAGTGATAGACAGGTGAGTGGCTACAGTTGAATGAGCAATGGACAGGTGAGTATCTACAAATGTATGAGTGATGGACAGGTGAGTGGCTACAGTTGTATGAGTGATGGACAGGGGAGTGGCTACAGTTGATTGAGCGATGGACAGGTGAGTGGCTACAGATGTATGAGTGATGGACAGGGGAGTGGCTACAGTTGATTGAGCGATGGACAGGTGAGTGGCTACAGATGTATGAGTGATGGACAGGTGAGTGGCTACAGATGTAGGTGTGATGGACAGGGGAGTGGCTACAGTTGTATGAGCGATGGACAGGTGAGTGGCTACAGTTTTATGAGTGATAAACATGTGTGTGGCTACACTTGTGAGAGTGACAAACAGTTGAGTTGAGTGGCTACAGTTGTGAGTATGGCAGACTGGGGGTGGGGGGGGAGGGTCATTACAGGCTCGCTCCCATGCTGTCACTTTAGTGACAAAACACAGACTGGTCTCTCTCTCTTTCTCTCTCTCTCTCTCTCTCTCTTTCACATCCTGCCTAAGATCACCCCCTTCCCTTTCATAGGGACTTCACCTTTCTTCGGTTGCTTGACTCTCTTGCTAAATCATTTTTTATTGTTATCTCTGTTTGGTTACAGCCTAGCAGACCTTTTGCCATCAACTTATGTTAAACCCCTGTGACATAAGCTACTCTCTTACTAAATTATAATTTCTGTTTATACTCTGTAACCAAGCTCATTATTACACAGATGTTTTATGCTTTCTTTTTTTTCCATCAGCTGAGAAAAACATAGGCAGAAACATGTTTGATTGCAGAGAGACATGATGCAGATATCAGATGATAAAACATGTTCGATTGCAGAGAGACATGATGCAGATACCAGATGATTAAACATGTTTGATTGCAGAGAGTCATTATGCAGATATCAGATGATAAAACATGTTTGATAGCAGAGAGTCATTATGCAGATATCAGATATGAAACATGTTTGATACATCAGATGATAAAACATGTTTGATTGCAGAGAGTCATGATGCAGATAGTGCAGGAGTTGTGCAAGAGACCAGGCTTGAACAGGACTGGCTTTGATATGCCCACCATCTACATCCCAACCATGAACCAGAAAGTGAGTTGTCTTGCCTTTTAAAATGTGTCTGAGTTGTCTTGGAAGTCTTGCGTGAGTATTCTTGTGAGGTTAACATGGGTTGTCTTGTAAGATTCAACTTGAGTTAATGTGTGTCTTTAATAAATTTTTTTTTTTTTTTGGTCTCTAGTTAGCCACAAGCTAAAAATTAGCAAAGTAGGAGTGAAACTGGCTTATATTAGCTCAGCATTGTCTGCTACTGTGATGGCAGAGGGGTGTCATCTAGTGGTCAGATAAAGAAATCTTATCTAGATATTATTTCGTGGGGAAAAAACACAGAAATTCTTCCTCTTTGCTTTTGCTTGAAATGGCATTTGTCATGTGTTGTAGTTTACAGCTAGGCTGTGATATCTGTGCCATTTTGTCAAACACATTTGATTTCAGCAGAACCCTGATTAGTCACCCTTTGTGACATGGGTCTTTTCTTGAGACCCTCAAAATGGGACACCAGAACCCACATGGAGACATTAAGAACAGAAGTACTGGAGAGACTAAGTAAAAGTAAAGGACCCCTTTACGGACCTTCAGGCATATTCGGCATATAGGGCTAGACCTATCTTTTATCGACCAGTCTGCACTTGGATGGATGATGTGCGCTGCCTTTACTTCCCAGGACTGCTCCTGGTACCCACTCAAGGCTGGGTCGAGCCAAGGTCATTGTTAAAAAAAAGCAGGCTCCATCAGGACCTGAACCTATGACCTTCTGATCCGCAGGCGAGCGTCTAGCTACTACACCACGGGGACTCCCCTCTGAAGAAACTGGAAACAAACAAAAATTGTTGAAAGGAATTTGTAAAAAAAGAGATGAGTGATAGATAGATGTCGCTGACATTGAAGATCATAACATTCCCATTCAAACCACACTAGAAAACAAAGTTGAAGGCAAGAGGTAGGCAGCAGTACAAGTGGGAGGACAGCATCAAGAGATGGACAGACAGCAGTCTAAGAGAGTGCTGAACCTAAAAAAGCGACATAAAGTGTTGGATATCCTTTGCAGCCAGTCTGTTTTGTTGAGATGCACCCGCTCCCCCATCTACACTCAATATATGGCAACTCCCTTCCCCTCCCACCCCCCACCCCCTTCCCAATTTAAAAAAATGTTATTAAAAAGAGTTATGTTATTAACAAATCCCAATTACTGTTACCACGAAATTGGAGAAAAACATTTACATGAATCAAAATGTCAAATAGTTAATGAGATTTTAAACTGTAGATGCAGAAACCGCTCGTGAAAACAAACATGTCCTTGGCTTGGATCCCTTACATTGTTTCCACTGACCCCCAGGGAAAACAATACATTTGTTTTCATCTTATATGTACGCTGTACTTACAGTATATAACTTTCAGCTTATGTGTATGCTGTATGTATGTGTGTACAATACCTGTTTTTTCATGTTTTGTTTAGGCTGTATGTACAACTTCTTCATCCTTTGTGTATGCTGCATGTACAACTTCTTCTACATCTTATGTGTGCACTGTATGTACATCTTATTCTTCATCTCATATGTAAACTGTACTTACAGTATATAACTTTTAGCTTATGTGTATGCTGTATGTATGTATGTACAATACCTGCTTTTTCATGTTATGTTTAGGCTGTATGTACAACTTCTTTGTCTTATGTGTATGCTGCATGCACCATTTCTTCATCTTATGTGTATGCTGCATGTACAACTTCTTTTTCATCTTATGTGTATGCTGGATGTACAACTTCTTCTTCATCTTATGTGTATGCTGCATGTACAACTTCTGCATCTTATGTGTATGTTGCATGTACAACTTCTTCATCTTATGTGTGTGCTGCATGTACAACTTCTTCATCTTATGTGTACGCTGGATGAACAACTGCTTCTTCTTCATCTTATGTGTACGCTGGATGAACAACTGCTTCTTCTTCATCTTATGTGTACGCTGGATGAACAACTGCTTCTTCTTCATCTTATGTGTACGCTGGATGAACAACTGCTTCTTCTTCATCTTATGTGTACGCTGGATGAACAACCACTTCTTCTTCATCTAATGTGTCTGCTGCATCTGTTTAACAGGGCAGCCGCTGCGCCAACCAGATAGAGGAGGTGTGCAAGGAGATTGAGAAGACCATCAACCAGACCATCCAGAACACCCTCAACTCCCTGGAGAGAGACTGTGACCAGATCTCCCAGCTGGTAGAGGACAAACTCAGACAGGACAGGTACTAATCGCCACCCTCCCTTCCTTCTTTAACTCTTTCAGTCCCAAGTAATTTATAATGTGTGAATGGCTCTTTCCCCTATGAGTCCCAAACAACATGCAATGTGGTATCACACCTTCTAGATTTGGTAATAGCTACTTAAGTAAATTAGCTTTCTGCCTTGTTTGCCTTTTTTTTTTTTTCCTTCAAGTTATCAAATTGAATACTGTTATAGTAATAGTTTCCTGGTTAGTCACTGCTGAGAGATCTTCCTGGATTGAAAGAGTTAAAGTTTGTTGCTTATCCTTTCACTAGTTCAACATATCATCACTGTTGAAGGAGAGACATTAAAACAAGCTGAGGAGTTTAAGTACCTGGGCAGTGTATTCACACAGGATGGAGGGTTGGACAGAGAAATAGAAAACCGAAAGCCAACAATATAGATTACCAGATAGCTCCCAATTATTATGTATTTTGACAGATTTCATTTTAAAAAAAAAGTATTTATTCTATTATTATGCATATTGTAAGATTTTATTTTATCAGTGTTTCCGTTATTTTGTATTTTGTGTGATTTCCCCCTCCCCCCCAAATTATTGTGTATTTTGCACAATTTCACTTTTGTTTTATTACATCATTCTGTATCTTACAGGATTTCATTTCGTTTTTATTTTTTAAAGATATTTCCATTATTCTGTATTTTGCAAATACGTTTGTTATCCACAGCCTGTGTGGCTCACGTAATTTACGTGCCAGGTTCCGGGGAGTGTGTTACGGGATGGTGGGCATGGTGCTTCCCCTTTTGCTTCTGGCAACTTTTTTGATCAGCTCATCTCATGCTACCCTCAACTCCTGGCTGGGCCAGAGCACCATGGTCACTCTGGATATATATTTGGTATGTATGTTTAACCCTTGTATGTATTTTAAACCTTTTCACCCTAGTGACCTAGGAAAAAAGGCAAGCTCCTTCAATTTTTTAAAAATGTTCCCAGAAAAAAATATCCTTAGAAAACAAACCATTTTACACATGTGACCCCTAAAACATCTCACAAAATCTCTCATCCAGAACAGCAACAAATACTTTACAGCAGGACTATTCATCTAAGTTTATCAGGAGACCGAAATTGTGAAAATAAGGATCATCATGGGCCAGAGACTCGAGCCCTAGCATAGAAAGATCAGAAAAATAATACAGCTAGCAATGATCTGCCTACCACTTTCTAGGCCTCTGCGGACCAGATGTGGATTTTTCAAAGTTTTGAGTCAAGAGGATCGACTTAGAGCACTGCGTTTTTAAACACAAAGGTAGACAAGACAGAGAGGTTGAAACAAGAATCCAACAATCGTTATGTATTAAATTACATTTATTGCAACACTTTGCTGGTCCGCTGGGGATAAAAAGTCTTTATTCCAACTTTAGGTTACCAGTGTTGGACTTAAACATTAACTAAAGAACACTAGAGAAAACTTACCTTTGTAAAGTGAGATGCTTAAAAAAGATTGTGAACAAAATCAGAAGAGATTATTTTGAGAAATGAAGAGATTAGAAAAACTATTGGAATAGTTAAAGTTAGTTGAATATCCTTTACAGGATGTTGCAGAACCAGCCCAAGCATTTTTGTGGCTGTTGTAGGGGTTTTTCTAGGCAAATTTTACCTTCAGTAGTTTGCCATTGCTTGCTGAATGGTGTCATGTTGGTTCCACTGTCTAAACCAACGCAAGACAAATCGTCTGCAGCTGGCAACAAACCCAGCACTCCATCATTACAAAGCACCACCGCAACGCCTAAGCCACAGACTCGGACTCTACCCTTCATTAAAATAATTGAGAAAAATGAAATGGTTCAGCCACCTAGTGAAAATAGATCCAACAGTACCCGCAGTGAGAGCTTACAAATGTGAGAAATGAACACCAAGAAGCAGAGGAAGACCTAGAAGAAGATTGATTGAATGAGTCGCTGACAGCCTGAGACTTCACAACATCAAAGGGCACTACAGACTTTGTCAACATCTGCTCAAGTTTACCAGTATGAGAAACACAGTTTGGCACCTGAAAATGTTCAGTATGTACTCCCAACACCGTTGACTGAATACTGCTAACAGAGGGGCTGTCTACCATGTGCCAGCCTCCATCAAACCAAACTGTCAGGCCCAGGGGGAGATTCAGACTGCACGATAGCTTTCATCAAGGCTACTGGTCTCCTGGAGTCAAGTTTTCCGACAGAAGGGACGATGAACAAGAAAACATACCAACAAACTGAAAGAGTAAATGACGGGTGATCTGCCCAGGACTTGCGAGTGAATGGGAAAGTGAGGAAGCTAAGCTGCCTATCTTCTGTTAAACTGTGATGTTTACAAGCATTAATGCAGATGTCTCTCTACCAGCACAAAGCAAATATTGGACAAGAACAAACAGACTTTTTTTTCAAAAGTTTAGGAATTTAAATACCTGGGGAGCATCTTTACATACAGTGGTAAACTAGACAAGTGGTAAACTAGACAAGTGGTAAACTAGACAAGTGGTAAACTAGACAATTGGTAAACTAGACGAGCAATAGCTGTTTTGTTCACAGAGTTAATGAAAAAAAAACAATACCACTGTCAGAGTCTACTGTTTACCATCATCATAGCCACACAGGACCCTGACATCCACCCCCCTCCTCTTCACTGACACTTCTAGACTCCATTGTTGTTAGTTCAGTAGTTGACCTCAGTGATAATGCCTCTCATTTCAGGGACCTTTAAGTTCTGCCTGGAGAACTGTGCCCAAGGAGTACACCCACTACATCATCACTGCAATCCTGGGGCTGGCACTCTTGATGCTGCTTGTGGCCAAGCTGTCCTCCAGGTCGGTTCCATGGATATCTCTGTGTTGCTGTCATTTGTGGATATCTGTGTGTTGTCCTCTGTGGATATCTCTGTGTTGTTGTCATTTGTGGATATCTGTGTGTTGCTGTTGCTGTCATTTGGGGGTATCTCATTGTTGTTGCCATTTGTGGATATCTCTCTGTTGCTGTCATTTGTGGATATCTCTGTGTTGTTGTCATTTGTGGATATCTCTCTGTTGCTGCCATTTTTGGATATCTCTGTGTTGCTGTTATTTGTGAATATCTTAGTGTTGCTGTATTTTGTGGATATCTATGTATTGTTATCATTTCTGGATATCTATGTGTTGTCATTCTGTGTTGCTGTCATTTCTGGATATCCCTGTTGCAGCAGTTTTGTAGATATCCCAGTGTTGATGTCATTTGGGATATGTCTGTTATTGTCACTTGTGGATATCACTGTGTTTATGTCATTTGTGGATATCCCTATTGCAGCAGTTTGGGGATATCTGCATGTTGGTATCATTTGTTGATGTTGGATAGAGTGAAAAGGTAAAGAGTATATCACAGGTGTTCTGCCCAGGACTTGCAAGTGTATCACATCTGTCTGTCATGGCTGATTGTGTATCACATCTGTCTGTCATGGCTGATTGTGTATCACATCTGTCTGTCATGGATGATTGTGTATCACATCTGTCTGTCATGGATGATTGTGTATCACATCTGTCTGTCATGGATGATTGTGTATCACATCTGTCTGTCATGGATGATTGTGTATCACATCTGTCTGTCATGGATGATTGTGTATCACATTTGTCTATCATGGATGATTGTGTATCACATCTGTCTGTCATGGATGATTGTGTATCACATCTGTCTGTCATGGATGATTGTGTATCACATCTGTCTGTCATGGATGATTGATTGGCACCTTTCCCTCTTTCCAGATGGTAGGTAATATTGCGCGATGAGGAGGCACGGGACTCACAGCTCATGACGAGTGTGACGAGCAAGACCCGCCCGTGTTAAGAAATGTCTTCCACAATTATAGCATAGGATTTCAGGACCATTGTTGTCAACATTTGTGTTTAGTCTGTTTCTTCTCAGACGCTCAGCTCTCATCCTTTCTGCAGTCGTTTCTTTCTTCATTCTCATTCCCTTCCTGGTGTGTCCCCTCCACACAACACGGTTGTTGGCATTTTGTTAGTCCACCTCAGTACCTGTGTCTGTCTGTCATATGTGTTCAATTCAACCCACGTGTTGTTTGTTCGTCTACAGAACCCTGCCCACGCTGACCAGAAAGCAGAAAAAGAAGCTGTCGGAGATCTGTGATTATGTACAGACCACAGTGAAAAGCAAGAAGGTATGGTCAGCATTAACAATGAATTGTTTATATACCATGTCTCATTGTTGGTTCTTCTTCCTCCTTCTCCCCTTTCTCGTCTTTATATTTTTTCCTATACACTGACTGTAAACTCTGGCGAACATTTTTTTTTTTTTTGGGTCCACTTCTGGACTCTTATCCTGTTCAAGAACTTGAGCTCTGCATGCAAATCCGTTTTACAGATCTGGCTTGTTTGTGTGCAGACTTTTGATTCCTGGCCTCTTAAGCAGATGCAGCCTGACTTTGAAGTAAAAAGCCATGATTAGTAGACCATTTAAAACATTCTTGTTATTGGGGGGGGGGGGGGGGGTGTCGGATGTAAATCCCCCCCCCCCCCCCCAACCAGACGGGGCCCTGGAACCCACGCAGTGAGTTTTTCTTAAAATGGCACATAATAGATCGGCTGAGTGTCATTAGGTTCAGGGTTTGTGGTGAAAGATAGAAGAAAATTTCAGGGTTAGTGTTTTCAGTGTGTCAGATAAAAATGGACACTGTCTTCAGAAAATAGAAAGAAAATAGTCACGACAAAAATGAAATGTTCTCATATTGTGCTAAATGTTACGAGGAACAGTGATATCAGGAGGTGAGTCAGCACAGAACCAATACTGAACTTCATAGGCAGACATGAAATCAAATGGTTTGGCCATCTAACAAAATTGGCATCAGACAAGGCACCACAGAGAGCAATGTTTTATGGACACAGCGGTAACAGAGCCAGAGGTCTACCACACAGAAAATGGACCCCAGAAAAATCAGAGATACTGTAAAGTACTTTGTATGAAGTGAGTGAACAGAAGGGCCCATTCCAAAGATCTCTTCCTGCCCTGACGCTGCGAGGCATTCCATGAGAATTGAATAGGAAAAGAAGATAAAAATTGATGTTTTACTTTTAACTGTCAAATTGGTTATTGGGTTATCACATCTCATCGTTCACTAAGGTCAGGACTGGGAACCCTTTTATCAGCCGAGGATTATTTTTAGATTTTCCTGTGTGGGTTCTGGGGTCCCATTTTGGGGGGAAAATAGAAAAGATCCACTGTTTCCCCTTCAAGTTAGTTGCGTATCCTTTACAGCAGTAGAACCAACCTCCAGCGTTTCTTTTAGCTGGTGTGGGTTGTTGTTTTTTTAAGGCAAATTTTACGTTTATTGCTTTCTGAACGTTCAGTTCTCGGAACCACTGTCGAAACGAGCGCAAGATAAACCGATCGCAGCTGGGATCGAACCTAGCACCCTGGCATTAGGAAGAGTTTGCAACGCCAAAGCCGCCGATCCCGATGTTTCCCTACAAGCATGTTGTACCATATCATTTTATTTTCTCCTTTTTATAAACAGTAAACTTTATACCCTATTATTTTATTTCTCCATCTTTAAACATCAAACATTATAGCAAATCATTTTATTTTCTCTGTCTTTAAACATCAAACATTATAGCAAATCATTTTATTTTCTCTGTCTTTAAACAGCAAACCTTGTACCAGGAGTACCTGCAGCAGAGTGTGGCCGAGCATGACCTCTAACCTGGCCAGATGCAACTTATGACCTTGTCTCATGTGACCTTTGACCAGCTGTTATGTCCTCATCCTGCTATTATTGGGTTCAGATGTACGCCTTTGTTGTCAGTACCAGTCAAGGAAAACCAAATTTATGAGTATTATTGTAAAATATTCATTGTACAATTTTAATAAACACTCAACAAATTATGTTACCATTATTATCATGAGATATTATTTTCCATGAAGGATCATCAGGGCGTTTTTCATAGAAAAAAAAGGTGCTGGTACTCATTACAAAGGGTCTAAAAAGAAAAAAAGGTGCCGGTACTCATTACAGAGGGGCTAAAAAGAAAAAAGGTGCTGGTACTCATTACAGAGGGGCTAAAAAGAAGAAAAAGTGCCAGTACTCATTACAGAGGGGTTAAAAAGAAGAAAAAGTGCCGGTACTCATTACAGAGGGGCTAAAAAGAAAAAAAGTGCCGGTACTCATTACAGAGGGGCTAAAAAGAACAAAAGTGCCGGTACTCATTACAGAGGGGCTAAAAAGAAAAAAAGTGCCGGTACTCATTACAGAGGGGCTAAAAAGAAAAAAAGGTGCCGGTACTCATTACAGAGGGGCTGAAAAGAAAAAGGGTGCCGGTACTCACCACAAAGGGTCTTTTAGGGTCATGCTGGAAAAAATAAAAAGAGGTACCGGTACTGCATACCAGTGGCTGCCACAAGAAAAAAATCCCTGGGTATCAGTGTCTTGTTACTTTGTTACTGATGATAAAATTCTGAAGAACAATTGTCGTTTTTGTTGTTGAACCTGACTATAAAGTATTCATTGTGCAATTTGAATATGCTTTTGAAACCTGATCGTCACATTTGTAACACGATAGATTATTCACCATGAGAAAATGACAGATTATAAAATTAGGTTATCGATCACCAACTTGTTACATTGTTATGGATTATAAAATTGTGCAGTAAAATTTCCTGTTACTTGTTTGAGATTTGTATGTACATGACTAACAAATAAATGTTGTTGCAGTACTTAATATTTCTTGGCTTTATCTTGATGGTGTCATTAGATGAGGGTTGGGTTCATTTCTTTTTTTTTTTTTTTGAGGGGGGGGGGGGGGGGGGGGGTTATAATATATGCAGACATCAGAAGGAGACAGTCATCATTTTTCAGCCATGTTATGAGAAGAGGGAAAATAGAACATGTTGTGACCACTGGAAAGATCTGTGGAAGGAGGGATAGAGGAAGACAACGAGAGAAGATGCTTGACAGTCTTGTTGCATGGCATGGAGGTGATGCATGCTGCAGGAGATCGCAGATTGTGGAGAGGCATGATCGCCCACGCCAGTCGGCAAGGCACCTGATGATGATGAATATATGCTGTACCAAGACCATCTCCATATGACAGGTCATGCTGCTGGCGTCACTAAACTGGGCTAACGATACATAAGGTTTTCACTCTGCTGTTTTTCGGTGTGTTCCCTGCCGTCCCCGACATAAATTCCATGAATAAGCTTGAGAATTAAACATATATATATGTGTGTGTGTGTGTAAATACATATATATATAGTTACACACAATATGACAATATAGAAACATAAAGTACAAAATTTCTAGCCCGCATACATCGCAAAAAAAAGTTGCTTATGCATATTGTTTCATGCTGTTTACACGCATATGAAATAGTTGTTGTCTGTGGTGAGGGTTGTTCTAAAGTAAACATTGCTCCCAAAGCGCTGCCATCTCTGGCAAAATATTTGTCTGAATAGCTACAGGGAAATCCAAAACGATACATTCTTGCTGGATAAATCATCTAAGATGGAACATTCTGCAACTAAAAATGAAAGTAGTTTCTGTTGTACTTTATTTTTCTATATTGTCATATTGTGTGTAGCTATATATATGTTTAGCTCTCTAGCTTATTCCCAGAATTTTTGTGGGGGTGGGCAGGGAAAACACTGAGAAAACGGGACTGTGAGAGTGAAAACTCGACGTCTCGTTAGCCTGGTTTGGTGATGTCATGGCCTGTCAGATGGAGACTGTCTTGGCTGTGCTGACCGCGGCTAGTAGATATTTTCATCAATTTTGAGGCTGAGTCTGTTTTAGATACCAGTAGTTTTAGAGCTAATTGTAGTTTAGGGGCTGGAAGAAATGTTTAGGAACGACTGGTCGAGTAAAAAGAAATCTGGGTGACATCCCTGACAAGGTGGTTGAAACTTTGTTTGTTGGAGACAAAAATAATAGTCATATAAACTGCACAGTTGTTGACATCTGCAATAGCCATGTGGCTGTAAATTCTCAGGCTCAAGACTTACTTCCTGCCTCATCCTACACTGCCTAAAAAATATGGTAAATTTAGCCAGAAGTATCAGTAAATTGTTGATTAATGTGAAAGACACATACAACTACTTTTTGTTCTAGCAATCATGTATGCATTAATATTGATTCAGTGATACACGAACTGAAGGATCTATTTCTTCTTCTTCTTCTTCTTCTTCTTCTTTTTCTTTTTCTTCTTCTTCTTCTTCTTCTTCTTCTTTTTCTTCTTCTTCTTCTTCTTCTTCTTCTTCTTCTTCTTCTTCTTCTTCTTCTTCTTCCTCCATTCTCTTCTCCTGGAATGCCTCAGAGCAGGAGTAGATCTCTGGAACAGGCCCTTCTTTGTACAAAGTACTTTTTTTTAGGGTCTCTGATATTTGTTCGGTCAATATTCTGCATCATCGACCTCTGGTTGCTCTCTGGAAAGACGTTCAACATTTAAAGAAAAAACATGAGCTTACTTTTAATCAGGCTTCAGCGTGTACTGTAAGCATATTGACTCTTCGTTGGCTACTGAGGAAGAGACGGAGCACGTGTCAGTATGTCTAGAGTGGAGCGATGATTAATTCTTTCATTAGTGATGGATAAGTGAATATATGCATAGAGAGAATGGGTTGAAAATATCTGAACAAAGAAGAGACACACAATAGATTGCACAATTCCCTGTGTGGGTTCCGGAGCCCCATTGTGGGTAAACAAGAATAGACCCACTGCCTCCCTAGCTAGCATGTTGTAAGAGCCGACTGACTTGAGGCTTCCTTTGAAGTTGGAGTGCATCCGCCTGAGAAGCAAGGAACAAACAATCTGCATACAAATAAGTCAGATCTGTAAAACAGATGTGCACGCAACACTCAGGTTCTGGAACAAAGGAAAAAAGTTCAGAACTTTCTGCTGGAGTTTACAGAAGCTGAACGCAAAAAAGAAGAAGAAGATTGCACAATTTATTGCTTAGCATATTTTCTGTGTCTCGTGAGATCGTTTAGATTTGTGGAAGCGACTGCTATAAACCAGTTCAGAATTATGCAGACAAAAGGACATGCTCTTCACCTTGTGTTTACCCTGGTGAAACAGACTGTTTTTGAATGTAGTAGATTTTGTGTTTCATTTCGACGGATCACTTATTTGCTTCATTTTAATCAGTCACTGTGGTATACACCTGATGAGATATAGCCAAATATACCAGGTAGTAAATTGTGCAATCTATTGTTTGTGTCTTCTTTGTTCAAATTCACAAAGGGGACACATTGCTCTGATTTCTTTGAAAATATTTGAGGTTTACAAAAGAAAGTGAGAGAGAAAGAAAGAAATAAGAGAACATATGCAGTCAGAAAGATATGTGCATAGGTAACGATGTGATGAAATGTGTGTGTGATACAAAATCAGATAAAGTCAGTAAAAGTCTTCCAACTGATATATTTAATGAGATAACATATTTGAACACCATTTATTAGTACACAGCTTATGGACGGATCAGAACAAGTCATTATTCTGCACCTTATATTAGTAGCTTCGTCCACATGCAGGATGCAATTTTTAGTCATTTTGAAGCCCCATCCTTGCTTTTGCTGCGGGCCCTAAATATGGCTGGGCCTTAACTATGGCCTAACGACTGAACAGGGTTTCAGGGACCTCTCCACAGGTGATCCTCATCCGCATGGTGGCACCTTGTGTCACTAGATGTTTATTGCTTGTGTGACGTCCTGGTGGGGTACAGTTTACCTACCTACCTACCTTCTGCACCTTAGAACAAAGCTTAACAAATTACACAGCCATATATATATATATATATATAATTTAAGATCAAAGGTATACGGCCATGTGCACATGTGGAAAATTGCCCCAGACAGCAGCACACAAACTTCAAGACTTCACTGAATATGTAAAGGTAAAACATTTTGCCACAAAAAACATGAGTGGAACGTGAACTGTATGGATCATGGAATGAACTAAAAACAACAGAAATTCAAAGGAAACACAATTGCTGATGTAGACAACATATTTTGAAAGAAGAACAAGAAATTCACAGCTCTGTGGCTTAGAGGTCAGTAAACAAGTTTCACAATCCTCTTCATACCAGGGTTTAACTCCTGTGGCTGGCGATTTAGAACAAGGCCTGTCATATGGCTTTCTGTGAGACACAAACCATAGAAAATATTGGGGCCTCACTTGTAATTTTAAAAATGACAGCAGTGGAGGTATATGACCACTACAGTCAACATTTCTTGAGATGACACAAATACTAGTACTACATTTATTCAAAGTCACAGTGCATCTGCTTGAGAGTCAAGGTGCCAACAGTCTGCACACAAGAAAGCTAGATCTGTAAAATGGAGCTGCACGCAAAACTCAAGTTCTGTAACATGATTTAAGTCTAGAAGTAAAGGAACATCCAGAACATTCCAGCTAGAGTTTACAGCCGGTGAATGCAAAGAAGAAGAAGATTATTACACTACGTAATTGGTCTTTGCATTAACCGACTTTAAACTCTGATAGAGAAGTGATGGTTGTTTATCCACTTCTGGACTAAAATCTTGATCCAGAGCTTGTGTTTTTGTGTTCACATCCTTTTTACACATCTGGCTCACTTGTGTGTGGACTGTTGGTTTCTTGCCTCTTAGGTAGATACACTCTGAAGAAAAGACCATTCCTACCTTTCTAGGATGACCTCACAGAGGTTTAGAGGTCTTGACCAGTTGGTACCTTG